AGCTCCCAGGATGAACTGAGGAGCCTTTTTTATAATGGAATTTTCAAAAGATAAAAATAAAAAAAATAACCATCAAGAAACTAGGCATAATTTTATGGCTTCACCGCCTGAGCCCTTCTTGCAGGGCCACCGCCCGCACTGTGTGGAGGGCTGCCTAGGTTAATTTAGAAAGTCGTACAAAAAAAGTCGTAAAACGAATCCCCGGCCCCTAATCTGCCGAACATAACTGCAGACTTGCCACTAGCCTCTGCGGCTTGACCGCCTCGGCCCCAGTGACTCGCCCGGGCCCCTAGGCCCCGAGCTCCCCTTGTACTCCCCGGGGCCGATGCCGCCGCTGCTGCCGTTGCACCCGTATCGGCCGGGGCCCGAGGGGGTGCGCGTCGGGGCGTGGCCTGCAGCGGAGCCTGCGGTGGGCCCCATTGACCCCCGGGAGCCTGCCCACCTGCTGGCATGAATAGCACCGCGTGATCCTGATGGCCACGGCCTGCACTTGGCCCTCACGCCCTGCACGGAACGGCCCATCGCAGTGGTGCAAGCGCACGGCGCGGCCGGCTCGACGCCATCCCAGTGAGGCCCCGGGCGGCCGCCCCCGCCCGCGCCCTGGCGCTCGCCCACCAAGGCCACCACGGCGCGCCGCGCGGGGGACCGCACCGCCAGCACCGCGTCAAATGAATTCATAATTTATGCATAGCTTATTCATTAACGCCGTTTCGGCCACGCGCGGCCCCCGTGTGTGGCGCGGTGGTGCCCGTGCGATTGCGGAGCCCTGTCAGTCACTCGCCGCGCCCACCCACGCCCCGCTACCTGGACCACTGGACGCCCCCGCAAGCAGCAGCATCGGGAGAGAAAGCCGGGGCGTGGCCGTACCTTTGGCGCCTTCTAATAATACTCGAGGACGAGAACAACGACGATGACAACAAAAACGAAATGAAGTTCGCATGTTATTCCGATTCCCGCGGAGGCGACCGTAACGCGAGTGTTGCCCTGCTGGCCCCATCGTTTGCTCGGGCTCCGAGGAGCTGTTGTTGGAGCTGCCGACGGTATCTGCAGCAGCTCCGCTCCGCTCCGCCCGACCGCACCGTGCGCACCGAGTGTGGCGATTCCAGAAAAAGTGTTATGGCATCGCGGCGCTGCGAGACGGCAAGAAAATGCGCACCTGGATTTCGGGGGAGGGTGG